TAAGCTTGTCAATAGTCAAATTGCATCTCCGGCCCCACTACCGAAGCAAAAAATGCTATTATAGGGGAACTTACATCATTCAAATTTGTTTGTATGGAAAACTCATATCAGTAGGTTCTTTTCTTGTCAAGTATTTATAAAGGATCTTACCGTGGAACTCCCTGCGGCATTAAGAGTCCACACCAGTTTGTCAGCTTCTTCACTCAACATAATCGCATCCAAAGTTCCCAATAAAGCTTCATATTCTTCAATTTCCCAAACATTAAGATTCTGTGTGACTTCCACATTCTAGTTCCTTCTACCTTCATCACTACCATAAGCCTCCTGAATATACATGTTTTTGTAACGAGTTATAGCATATATATGTTAAAAACTATCTTTTAGTGCTCTATCTTCAAGCCACTGTCCAACTAGAAGCCAATTCTACTCTCATCTCCCACTCTCCACTGCACACACCTCTGAAATACCTCTTTGCCTGTGTATACTTTTTTCCACGAACCTCTCCCACGGGGATAAGCCTAATCCCTAGTGAACCATCTTCTTTCTATCGTGCCGAATTTCGCCTTTGTGATCCTCCTCCACAGAGCTTCTCTCTCATTCATGAACCGCCACAATTGTTTCCCATGTAAAACCTTATTCATCTCCAAAATTGATCTCAAATCCAACCCTCCATCATTCAAAGGTCTCTTAATTACATCCCAGGCTACCAAGTGGTATTTCCTTTTTTCTTCAGAATCACATTGCAAGAAATTACATTGAATAACTTCCATTTTCTTGGCAATACTTGAAGGTACAACGACTGGAGATATGTAATACACTGGGAGGTTGGACAATGTGCTTTTTATAAGAGCCAGCCTCTCTCCTTAGATAGCAAGCTTCTCTTCCATCTGGATAGTCTTCTCTCAATCATTGCCACGATTGGATGCCACGTCCTTACATCTTTGTATATAGCTCCCAAAGGCATCTCCAAATATTTCATTAGTAGCTTAACCTCCTTGCATCCAATTATTTTCGCCAGTCTGTCACTAATACTTCCCTCCCCCAACCTAACCAGTTTAGGTTTTGCTAAATTAATATTTAAATCTGACACAGCTTGAAAACACAGCAGGATGCAATGAAGGTCTAACAAATAAACATCATCTGGTAGACAAAACACCAAGGTATTATCAGAAAAAAACAGATGAGAAATCTTATCAGCTGTCTTTCCCAAATATTTCAACAGTATCTTGCCTTTTTTTCTTCTGTAGGTTTTGCTTTTAGAGGTTTTCTATGCTATCCTATTGGGGTGTGATCAATCTTTTACTTTCCTTTTTTTTTCCCTAAACACCACTTAGTAGAAAGAAGTAATTAATATAATAAAAATAGCTGGTTTGATTTTTTTTAAATGTGGCAACATTTTCATTAAATACCATTTTTATAGTTCCGCTTCTATAACTTGAAAAGTCCACCTAGTGGCATTTGGATAGCCTAGTTTTAGGTTAGTTATGTCATTTGCATTTTTATGGTAGAGTATTTGTTCTATAGCATGTATAATTTTGGTCCTAATTTGACAGGATATCTCGTTACTTGTGTTAATGATATCAAAGCCATACTGATGCGGGTTTTCTCATCAAAAGCAACGACATTTGGCCATTTTACTGACAAAAGTTTGCTTGTCAGTTTGATGGAACCAACCATTGGATATATTATGAAATGCCTCTTTAAGGAAGCATCACAGGTTAGTAATGACTTTTCATGTGCAATAATGCCTTTTATGTTAATTAATTAACATATAACTTTCAGGGTGGGATGACAGAACTGCTATACTAGCATATAGTAAAGAGTTAGGAAAAAAATATTAAATATTTCTTATGTATGTTCAAATAGGGATAGGGTATATATACAATTTTGCTATGATGAAAAAGAAAAAGAAATAATTAATTACATACGATGTAATCTAACTTTATACCCTTTACTATTTACCCTTTTTTTAACACTTCACCTCAAGTTAGGGAGTAATTTATATATAATTAATAGATGAGTAATTATAATAAATTACATAGATTTATCTTTACACCCTTTAACATAATTTATCTTTTCTTTAACACCATCTCTCAAGTTAGGGAATAGATGTTATCCATCCTCAGCTTGCCAATAAGAGTTTGGAATACTGTAAGCCTTTAGTCAAGATATTTGCATGATGAGAATTGGTAGACATTAGGGTAGATATCTAGCTACTGTCAAGTTTTTTTTTTTTTTTAATAAAATGCCTTTCGACCTTGATATGTTTGGTTTGGCAATGTTGCACTGAATTGTGGGAAATACTTATGACTGACTTGTTTTTACAGTATATGCGTATGAGATTTTCCTACTTGATTATAAGATTTTTCAAAATCCTTCTTATTTATAATAGTTCACATATTCCTTTATGCTATGGTTCGGAATTCTGATTCTGCATTTGAGATAACAATTATCTTTTACTTCTTACTTCTCCTGGCGAGTAGGTTGCCCTAATGAAGGTACAATATTTTGTAGTAGATTTTTTCTTTGCAACTATTCCTGCATAATCTACATCTGTATAGGGTTTTAGGAGCAGTCTATTATTCTTCTTGAACATAATTCTTTTTTCCAAGTAACATTTTTAGGTAATGTAGTATTTTGTTGGTTACTTGTAAGTGCACTTATTTGAATTGTGCACAAATTGATTTATAATACTTACTGCATAAACGATGTCTGGTTTGGTGTATGATAGATATATCAATCTCTCAATGATTGTCTGATATATTTCCTTGTTTTCTCGTATCTCTTTTTCTATTATTCCTAATTTATAATTGAAATTAATAGAAATATTATTTGATTTACATGTTAACTTGTCAATATCTCTCAACAGACCATAAATGTATTTTTATGGAGAAATACAGATCCCGAATTTTGAGAGGATAACTTCATAATTCTCATAAACTACTTCAACTTACCTAGTTCCTCTTTTTAATTTATCTGCTAAAACTTCTAAAATTTATATATTTGTTTTTAACTCCCAAAAAGTATGAAGTTGTTTTGTATGCTTAAATCATCTAAGTTTTATAGATGGAAGCTGGTCATCCTTTAGTTGGCTAGTACACATATATAATTGGTTATTGCTTTTGTGTGGGTGAGTTCCCTTTGTCATTTACTAGATATATCTTGTCAAAAATTCAGGCTGCCAGTGTGCTTGTGGATCTTGGATTAGGAAGGAATCAAGTTGAATTATTTGGAAACATCCCATATGTCTCAGTTGTTCTTCATCATTTACTAAAAGAACTTCCAATTGAATTAGTCTGCTCATATGCTGTAGAGATCCTTCATGTGATAAAAAGCAGCAATGATGATTCTTTTGATCAGGTATTGTTTACATACTGAAGAATGATGCAGCTTATTGCTTCCTCAAATAATTTGTAATAATATGGTGTGCGAAATTTTTTTATTATTGGTTCACTGCCTTCTCTTGGAACAGTGTTTAAATTACAGGTTACTTGGACTCAGACTGTCTGAAATGAGATCTCAAGTGGGCAATGTGAATGACATTGTTGACGAAGTTCTTCAGGTTCCTAAAGTTTTCTGGTCATTGTTGACTTTATATTGTTATTTTTCTCCAGATCTTAGCTCTTAGTTTCTCTGATATAGGTTTTATCTCTAATTACTTAAATGTATAAGTTCTTTCCTAGGATGTCTTACCATATATATATAAAATTTGTAAAATACAAGAACAGTCATGGTCTTGTCAAACTGATCTGTAGTACAATAATAAAGTAAAGAATTAGAGACTCAGATGGTAGAAGATGCCCCTAAGAACAATATGATTGCCTGAATATGAGAAATTTTGCCATTATTGTGTCTCCTAAATGATTTAGCCAAAGAAAGAAGTCTGAATTTCTCAAATTAATCAAGTCAACCTCAATCAAGCATTCTGCATACAGCTTTCAAGGCTTTTAGTATTGAACTAAAACAATTACATTTGCTCCATCCATGTGATTCTAGAAGGTCTTCAGATCGACAAACAACAGTTGTTCAGTCTCTAGGTGTCTGTATCTTTAGAATATAGTGGTAATTTGAAACATTTACCAGCATCAGAGAACCAATATATTCCTCTGACACGAATGCTAATCTACATTCTTAACAAATTTGCTCAGTATGTTTAAAAAAAGGATATTCATGTGCTTATGTGGGAGAGGATAGAGGAATTTCTAATAACTTCTGGTCTATTCAACCCAGCTACCTAAATGAAAGGTGAATCCTGTTGAAGAAAATTTCTCTAACCTTCACGAAATTAAATGCTCAATCTTCCGTTTCTGTGGCACCCTCGAGATAGCATATTTACTTACTAACAAATTTTATGCTTGAGCTGTAAACCCTGCAGCTATTCATGCTGATATTCTATTTGATACATGTTTATGTTTGCAATTCTTTTGTTTTATGTGTTACATTCATAAAATCAAAAGATTTTTGGTTTGTTCATTTTGCTATATTTATGTGTGTGTGTCTGTATATATATTTTGGCTAGTATCTGTTCTGGAATATCTACACAATTTCTTTTGAGACAACATTCTTTTGTGGAGCTGATACCCCAAAAGACATGTTTGTGTGGTTTTGTTTTTTTGTATAGAGGAGCACATTTTTATGCAGTTGTTATGGCTCTTTATATCTGTGTCTAATTCTTGGGTTTGCAGTTCCTTATTTTTAAGGCATATAGTTGTTATAATTCAAACAACAATGTTGTCTCTCTTTTCAATGATTATTATGATATAGGTTGTTTCTCAATATGACAAATGTGATGAGTATCTGAAGATTGTGGACACTTTCTTGGATATTGTTCTTCAGTATGAGATGGTAAGTTTGAGTGTCTTGTGAAATCATCTATTTGGTTATTCACTCTGGACTTTTATTCACTATCCTTGAGTTTTTCTTTTAAGCTGTTATTATTTCCCTTTCAAATGGTAACCACATATGACATCCTGAGACTTCTTCGAGTTACACATAATGGTCAATGACATGAGTGTGACACAGGATATGTTTTTCTGGAGTCAAATTTGTTTTATTCGAAAAACAGAGCCTTTTCTCTCTGGATTTCCTTTGAAATGTTCACATACTAACCATAAACCGGATGTTAAGACTTTGGATGTGGGACCATGAACATGAGCAGTTCTATGTTTCAAATTTCATCCTATATTTTCAACAATTGTTCTCATATCTGTGGAACTGATTGATTATGCCAGGATAATCATCTGTCCACCATCTTAGATGGTATTTCAAAGCGGATAAAAAATGAAGAGATTGCTGACAATGAATTAGCAAGGCTGCAGTCCATTTTGGTGAAACTTCTTTCTCATTTCAAGGACTTGGCAGATGTAATTGCATTGGTATGGAACTTACTGATTTCCTAAACCTCTATTCAACTGCTAACTAGCTTGGTACTTGTACTGTTTATAAACCAATATGTCCGACGTAAGCAGGCAATTATTCTCTTCATGGCAGTAATTTGAGACCATATGAAATGTTACTACTGAATTACTACTAAGTTCTACGGTTTTATTGTAGAACCATTTCCTTGAGATTTTAGATGTGATGCATGGGAACTGGCAGAGCAATGCTAACATGCATATACTCAACACGGTGACAAGGTATATTTTGTTCATTCTTCTTGGGATTTTGTCATAAAGTCCTAGTTTTCCATCTTATATCAAATATTTTATTGTCTTTTAGTTAAATCAGTTAGTCTCATGGGTTCTTAAAAGGTATTAAATAATGCCATAAAATTAAAATTTCTAATTTTATAAATTAATTTTTATGAAGTGTTTTTTAGTCACTTCCCCAAACCTACTTTCTTACTTGTTATTATTAAGTGTACAAATTAAAACTCAACATCTAAGGTGTTATTTTTACATTTTCAATAATCATGTATCTATTGTTTTTCACCAAGACTCGTCCAAATTGCAATTCCTTTTTTACTTCCTGAATGTGCTTCTTCAGAAAACTCCGATCTTTAACCCATTAACATCTTAGAAGCTCTCAATTCAAAAGACAAGTAGTTGTGTGCTGAAAAGATGAAATTGTACCAGGGTTATATGGAATGGGCTTATCTATTATAGGCTAGGCCATCTTTTCTGCTGGCCTGTTTGTCGTAGGAACTATCACATCTTGTTGGACCAGGCACAGGTGTAGTAGCCAGTAGGTGCCTGAGGATGGATGTGGGTTGCCATGGGCTTGTGAGATTGTAATGGGTACAGGGGTGAGAACGAGTGCAGACCTGCCTAGGATCAATGATTTGGCTAAAGAGGTTGGTTTTAAGCTGTGAGTACCACTTGCATCCTGACTGGGAGTTTTTTGAGTCAAGAATCAATGACAAAATTCCATAATTCGATGCCATATAGCTTTTCTAACTTGGAAGGAACTGATCTATAAAACAATTAAACTGCTTGCAATTATGGGGTGTCTCGGGACTAGGATTCCAGGACAAATACACAAAATAAGTAGCTATAACCATGCATCAATAAATATGTGTTTGTGTGTATATATGTGTACAGATTACACTTGGGTTTTCAGGCTGGAATTATGAATTTTTCCGAGAAGTCTTCTGCTTTTTGTGTCGATGTTGAGTTACATCCTAAGGATGGATTTTTATCACCACTTGAATCTTTCAACCTGCGTGATGCTCTGATTCAAT